TGGATGGTTGGATGGTTGGATGGTTGGATGGTTGGATGGTTGGATGGTTGGATGGTTGGATGGGCGATCGGCTTGCCATCGAGAGCATTTGTCACACAAATCCACAAATCCATATTTAATGGGATTTCTCTAGTGTCACATGTCAGGAGTTGAGTCTTCACCTATTTCTTCGCATTTTGCTCTTTTAAGGAGGTTAAGTTACGTGAACTGTTGTAGCAAATATTGGATACATCTTTTGATACCTACATTATAAAATAGCTTGTTTTGTAGCTTGAGAAACAATTYAGAGTTTTGATCGAGCAACATATCATCCCATGTTTCTGCTGTTAAGTTGACCATAAGGTTTAATGTCACTAAAACATAATAATCAGAAAAAAGAGATGTTATTTAGAATAGGAATTCATCCCAACACTAGTGTATCTATCTCTAACTCATTACCTTCACATGAAGGGAGTGTGCACTCAATGGTACTCGTACATGTTTCTGTGGAGCATGTTCGTACTCTAGTCTTACTGCCTTTTCCACACGTCCTGCTGCAAGGTGACCAAGAGCTCCATTGACCTTCAGCTGTGGCTGTACTAATGCTAATGGTTGTAGCTGGGGATGGTTTGATTGGCGTGTTCGACATGGTTGAAGGTGCCACAGCTATTGCCGAGGTGACCGAAATATCGAAAGAATTTAAAGGCGACGAGGTTTGCAACGTCTGGTGGGATGTTGTTGCAATAGAAACTACTCCTGAAGCACCCGAAAGCATCGAGGTTATATCGGTTACCGTCCGAGCTAATTTTGATACCGGAATACCTATTCTCACGGACACATCTTTTGACACTGATGAGGTGCTTCTGCTGGTTGGTACCTCTGATGGTGATGGTGTTAGGGGGTCTAACATTGATGAAGTGCTTCTGCTGGTTGGTACCTCTGATGGTGATGGTGTTGGGGGATCAGGCAGCGATGATGTTCTTGTGCTGGTTGCTACCTCTGATGGTGATGGTGCAGAGGGGTACGGCACTGATGAAGTTCTTGTGCTGGTTGGTACTTCTGATAGTGATGGTGTTGGGGGGTCAGGCACTGACGAGGTGCTTCTGCTGGTTGGTACTTCTGATGGTGATAGTATCGAGGGGTCCGGTACTGATGAAGTTCTTGTGCTGGTTGGTACTACTGATGGCGATGGTGCCGAGGGGTTCGGTACTGATGAGGTGCCTCTGCTGGTTGGTACTACTGATGGCGATGGTGCCGAGCTGCTTCCGCTAGTTGCTACCTCTGATTGTTTTAGTGTTGATGTGTCTAACGATGATGGTGGATCTGAAATACAGTCACAAATAAGAGACTTTGTTGTAATCAATGATGCAATACAATTAATCAATGACAAACGAATCTTGCATCAGAAAGATTACAAATCAATCTATTTATCCGCCTGCTATACCTACCCATCTATACGTCCTACCTACCTACCTACCTACCTACCAACGTACGAGCGATCCATTGCACAATACTTACCTAGACTCAAATAACATCGTATAACTCCCGTGCTTGACACAGATGAAATGTCACTAAAGGCCTCCACCGTGATTTCATACCAGGTTTGAGGAATTAAATTAGTCAGAGTCACTGAGCTGTAATTTCGATTAACAATAACACTAGATAAAACGTTAGAATCTTCTGCGGTGTAAAACACTTGATAGCCCAGAACATATCCAGACAACGATTCTTGGATAGGATTCCATTCAACAAGTATTGTATTGTACGACAAACCAGTGGCTAATACATTGGTTGGTGGTCCAATGCTCACTGAAAAATAGATACAATCAAAATTAAGTCGATATAATGAGACGATAGGACATGAAAGCGGTAGTGTGTGCTTGTACTCCACCATTGCCATTTGACTTTATAAAAATACTTACTTAGGTGGGGGGGGGGGGGGGGGGGGGGGGGGGGGGGAGGATGATTCTATTGTTTCATGGGAACTACTTACTACACTCTTGTTTAGGAAGTCAATTGAATTATATTTCCCACAATATCAAGGTAAAAATGATCTAGGATTATGTCTATGATTATGATATACCATCCTACGATTCACCTGGATCAGACTTTGCACAACTATATTTGGCTGCAGCTATCCGTCTACTTGACAAGGCTGCATCAAACACCTGTAAACAGGTAATCGTCATCTGACCTGTGCCAAGCTGAAGCATTTGGTCTTGTATTGAAAGGCTGAGTGCGTCATTTGGAACGTTGACCTCAACATCTAGATGATTATCGATCCAAAGCTGTACCACTGCTGCTTTTTTGTCAAAGATTAATGAAATGAAATACCAATTGTGGTCCTGTAATCGTGAGCTGGTGGTTGCCTTGATTGAAGGTGTTATACTGACTTCAACTTGTCCAGTTGATAATCTTCTAAGTTGAGTTTTTTTAGTTGGCTCTGTTGATAAGATCTGAGTTTCACTACTGTTAAGAAACCATATCCAGAAGGAAATGGTAACAGAAAACGTCGGCAGGTTACAAGAGCCATTTAGAAAATATGTTATAGAGCTTTGATTGGACAGCAATCTTGTAGCGGATTTATCCTTTGCAAGTATTCCATTGGCAAAGGCAACCTGGTTGGTTATCTTGGTACATGATGAGTTAACTTCTACACGATCGTTGATAAGTTGATCGAATAAAAGCTGAGGATACAAAACTGAATAAAATGTCATGATTACCAACATGTATTAGCCTGGGGTATATGAGTTTCAATGCGTTTCATTATTTTTCATTTAGTCATTGTTCTTTTTCCACTGATTGTATTATTTTGTTTACAATGAATAACAAATATTTCAAGCGGTTTCAGAATGTACTTTATGCCTGGGTGTACACTGCAGCCCCGGGGGAATGACAACGGAAATTGTTGAAGGTCAATGAAACGACCGAGATATAATGCTAACACCTATTCAAAGTCTCTCATAAGTATATTGGAATAGTAAAATACAAACCTGYTGTATTGTGTAGACATGTGTATTGGGAATGTACCGTTTGCCAATGACCAAGCATTGAATCGAACAACTGAATGCAGGCCATTTTGCCCTTGAATAAAGGAGCAATGCGAAGGAAATCCCCAATCAAGATATTGTTGCTCGAATTCATCCGGGCGTGTTTTAAATTATCCAAGTGAACATAGGCTGTATTCGTTTTCAAGCTTAGCATAAACGCCAGGTAGTGCCAGGTGTCTTTTTGTATAGTTAAGGAACTAGATTGTAGAAGACTGTAAGATCCTTTTGTGTCGTAGATTATACCTTCAAGATGATCATTAGACAGTCGAAGAGCCGTCGATGTGTTACCGGGTGATGACATTGAGGACAGACTAATAATTTCTTGATATCTGTAGAGTTCCTTTGTTTTGAATCATGTTAGTATA